TCAGCAGCGGAGCTGGGGGAGGAGACGGGGGCTGGGATGGCAGGGGTGGGGGTCAGGATTGAGGGGCACTGGCAGAGCTGGGGGAAGGGGGGTGTCAGGACTGAGGGGCACCAGCAGAGCTGGGGGGAGGAGGAGCCCAGGACTGGGATAGCGGGGGTGGGGGTCAGGGCACTGGCACAGCTGGGGGTATGGTCAGGCATAAGGTGCTGGCAGACTTCCTGGGGGCTACAGTACCCTCTGCCAGCCCCTCAGCCTGGGGCTCTCTCTGGGCACCGGAGCGACGTGGGCTGGCTCTGAGGCTCCGGGGGTCTGTCGGGGTGAGGGTCCCGTCCCCGCTCGGCCCAAGCCAGGCCACGTGCCACTCCCCCAGGGCCCAGCGCTGGCCCCGCCCGAGCATGCTCTGCTCACGGTCATGTGCACGCAGCTGACCAGAGAAATGCCTTGGCTTGGCCTGGCAGGAGGCCTGCAGGTCCCCTCCCGACACGTCACTAGCGCTGGGGGACGCCCGTCCAGGGCACCGCAGCGGCCCCCAGCTCCCGAGGGCTCCCTGCAGCCAGCTCCAGACAGTAACCAGCCAAGCCGCCACTCGCCAGCCTGTTCCCCTGCCCCAGGAGCGCTGGAAGGAAGCGGGAGATCTGCTGCTGCCTAATGGGATTAGTGAGGCCCATTCAGCTCCCGTAATAGGATTACAGCCAAATTCACCAGCCCGCTGGGGTCTGGGCCCCCCGCCAGGAGCTGCCCGGCAGCCAAGGCCAGGGGCTTGCAGAGCTCTGAGTGGGAGGGGGCTCCCGGTGCCAAGAGGGGCAGGGAGGACGAGACAAGGGGTGGGGCAGGGGCTGGAGCAGGCCACTCCGTCTGCACCCACGCAGGTGCCTCACGCCCGGTGCAGTCTGGGAAGGGGGGAGCTGGGCCTGGCAGCCACACGACCAGAATCCAGGCCCGGGGAGGGGCCAGCTGAGCCAATGTCCCCATCCCCCTCTGGCTAGCCCCCCCCCCTCCCCCGAGGCCAAGGGCCTGATCCTAATGGGGCCCGGTGTGTTGTGTGTTACACGTTCCCCTTCCCTGCCATTGGGCTGAGCGCTCCCACAGCACAGCCGGCACCTCGCTGGGGCAGACACAGGCCCTGGTCCAGGCCCTTCCCGCTGCAGCTCCCTCGGGCTGCCTGTCTGGTCCCTCCCAACAGTGCCCAGCGTCTGGCAAAGCCACGTAGCTTCTGGCAGGGCCAGCGCCCGTCTGGGACACGGGCCCGTCGGTGCCAGCTGCAAAGGGCTCGCTGTTCTTTACAAGCTTTCCGGCCTGAGGTCTGACACGCTCGCTGCAGCTCACACCCCACTGCCATGGTGCTTGTCACAAAGGGCAGCAGGCGAGGTGACGTGTCGACACTCGGGCCCTGGGAGACGTGCCCGCGGCGGGCGAGATTTAAGGGCTAAGGTAACTTTGTTGAGAATTATGCCCTTATGGTCTGGGAGCGAAAGCGAGACGCCAGGGAAACACGTGTCCCGGTGCTGTCACCCCTCCCCGGCTGGCCTGTGCTGTAACGTATTGCTCCATTGTCCACTGCTGCAACACCCCAGAAAGGTCTGGGATGTGGGATTTCTGGGGGACCCGGTGTGGGGCTGGATCCCACAGGGGACACTTTGCAGGGTCTTGGGGGCTGGGTGGATCTGTGGGCAGCCTGCAGGGCAAAGGCAGGGCTGGTGCAGCGTAGGGAGAGGGCTGCCAGGCTGCCAGGCTGGGGGTGGCAGGGAACTGGCAGGACCCCCTCCCGCTGGAGGCAGGGTAACAAGGTGACTGGGGTGCCCCGAGAAGCGTCACACCGTCATCCAGCCTGGCACACGGCCCAGGCCCCCCAGCGCCGTTCCCAGGCACTCCCCTGCAGGGCGACTGCCAGCCCCGCCTAGCTCGCCCCCTCCCGTACTCTGGGCAGCCCCCAGCCAGCCATGCTCATCCCCAGCGCTTTGCTCGCAGTGCAGTGGGGTGACCCCTGTGCCCGGCTCTGGGCTAAGCGGTTCCATTGCGGGGTTAGGGCCCCGACTCGGCACAGCCCATGGGCCGAGGGGCACCGGTGGGCAGAGCCAGCGCTGGCCGAGGGACGGGGTTTCAGACCTCTCCCCAGGCCAGGCCGGGGCTGCGCCGCACTCTCGCTGCCCCAGAGCTGCGGTCGGTGTCCGTGGCGCCAGGCCAGCCCCAGGCACTGACCTCTCCCTACCCCGGCCTCGTCTGTGTCGCCCTCCCGAGGGAACAGTGCCCGTCCCTGGGCACGGGGAGCTGGCCCCTTGGCCCCCAGCACTCAGGGGTGCAGCCCCTTCCCCTGCTGGCAGAGGGGCCCCCATGGGGCGCCAGCACAATCCTCGAGCGGGGTTAATGTTTGATTAAAAACCCGGCTCGCTCCACTGAGCCAGGCGGCGTCTCCCAGGGCCCAGAGTCCGAGGCCAGCTCCTGGGGTCCACCCAGGTCTGACAATCCCCACACGCCCGTGCTGCTGCGAGCGCCTCACCTGGGCGAAAGTCCCTGTGCTGGAGGGGAGCCCAGCCCCGTGGGGGTCCTAGGAGCCTGTCGGCCTCTGGGGGCAATGCGGGCAAGCCGGGGCCGGGCATGGGGGATGGGCCAGGTGTGGGGGGCACGGGGGGATGGGCAGGGGGGAATGGGCTGGGCGTGGGGGGTAGCGGGGATGAGCAGGGCAGGGGAGACGGGGGAGATGGGCAGGGGATGGGAGGGCAGGGCGGACGGGCTGAGTGTGGGGGGTAGGGGGAACGGGCTGGGCAGCGGGG